CCTTCATTAGCAGCCAGCAGCCATATCACCCTGCAACTCACAGCTGGCAGCCCACTGTAGCTCAGCAGGTGTGAGCCTGGTCAGTACCTGGCTGGGAGACCTCCTGGGAAAAATAAGGTTGCTGCTGGAAGAGATGTTACCGAGACCGCTCACCCTGCGGTCTATATGGGTCCTAATGCCCCAGTATAGTGATGGGAACACTATACTGTAAATAGGCGCTGTCCTTTGGATGAGATGTAAAACCGAGGTCGTGACTCTATGTTGACATTAAAAATCCCAGGGCTTTTCTCGAAAAGAGTAGGGGGTGTAACCCTGGCTTCATGGCCAAATTTCCCATTTGCCCTTACCCATCATGGATTCCTAATAATCCCCATCTCTGAACTGGCTTCATCACCACTGATAGCTGATGTGTGGTGAGCACTATGCACTATGGCTGCTGTCACATCATCCAGGTGGGGCTGCACATTAATGGTGGTGGAGGGGAGTCCCCATTACCTGTAAAGCACTTTGAGTGGAGTGCCCAGAAAAGTGCAAGCACTTATTATAATAATTATTATTGTTTGTGGCACAAGCAGGGCAGTGCCCTACAGTTTGTGAAGCTGGTACGTAGCTCTACTGCGAGGACTGCCTTGTATTGTGAAAAACGTGCCTTTTTTGTGAAGGCAAAGAAATCAGATCACATACAAAGAACACCCGGGTCAGAAGACGACACACTCCCTGTAGCTCTTGCACTCCGCTGAACTTGAAAATGAACATTCGCCTGATTGCAAATGCTATTTCAATAGGCAAGTGGGTCTATGCAAAAAAAAAATTCTCCTCTTTGCAATAACCTCCCCCCCCGAGCTTCCCCCTGACAATGCACACTGGGGGCTTTTCTCAAGCGCAGACAGTGCACTTTCCTGACCATAACAAAGACAGCTGCAGTTAAAGAGTACCTGGGGCCTGGCCAGCCAATCCATGTGGAAAACAGGATTTGTGTTACACGTACGTACAGCGCACATAGCCTGTACGTCTCGACTTGTTCGTGCCCACTCAGACGAGCTTGTCCTTGCACGCGTAAAGAAACAGTCCAAGTCCTCTGCATTTTAATGTAGCTCCTGTCCATGGATCCATTCTGTACAAATGCTTTCTCCTCCCCGGGATATTTACTTTGTTTCTTCTCCAGTACTTAGCTCAATCACCAAATGAGCTGGTATAGGTCTGAGGCACAAGAACGCTCTCTAGGGCTGCATGTACACAATAAGCCAAGTGACAATGATGGCCTACTGTATGTTGACACCTGAAGAAGTCTCCACAGCCAAAACGTTGTGTTTATTTTCGTCTCTTTTCAGCATGGAATAAACCTTTACTTGTTCCTATGTTGACAAACACTACCTTTCAACAAAGACACTAAAGATACAGAGACATGAGTAGGCAGTGCTTTTCAGTACTGTCATTTTGAAAAGAGAGTGTTATTAAAAACAATAACTCCACAACGTTTCCTAACCACCTATCTCTATGCCACAAAAAATACAGAAAGATTTTCTCAAATCCCACAGGATCAGCTAGAAACATTAGTGCGATCAACAATCTGGAAGAAAATGTGAACCGAAAATTTTAAAAATGAACTGGGATTTTATATAGATGTGGAAAGGCCAGCATTGCTTTCTTTACATCTAGTCCAGGAAAAGAAATCACTTAAAGCCATAAATCACAGGAATGTCCTTATTCTCGAGTGTTAAAGAGGTGCAGTTAGAATCAGAACAGGACACTGGACAAGGTTACACCTTATTGATAAGTGACACTGTTGTAACGCCATGTGGATACTTAGCTATGTTGACTGTATTACAAAAAAGTCTTCTGTATGCAAAAGCATAGCAATTTGATTATGGTTTTCCTTGGAGAGCAGGTGAAAGGTGTCCTTACACAACAATGGTCTGTGCAGCACAAATGCCATTGTGAGGAGACCCCTGACAGGTTCTTTGGCCTTAAAATAACCTGTTCTGAACTATAACCAAGCCCATTGCTTCTCCGCTAAATGCTAAACTTAGGATTGGATGCTGCTTCAGGTGAAGCCTTAGTTAAAACACATTTTCTGTCTAGTTACCGCGGTGCATTACATGCTGTGAACATTTTTGTTATGCCTCCTGAGTAAAAGTACTGGAAATGTACTGGAATCAAAATCAAGTCTAATCCCTTAAAAAAAATGTTAAAACCCACAAACCTGGAATGTAAAAGTCTTTAATTCACATAGAAACCCCCAAACGATCTTTCCCAAGAAAAGCACATCAATTCCAACCTTTATCCTAGCTCAGTGGAACTGAGGAGAAAAAGCCTGACAAAGCATTTTCGCTTTTTTCTACAACCTAAAAAACTCCAGGCAAAACGGCAACAAGCAGATTTCCATTCCTTTCTTCCCGGGGAATACTGCTACAATGATACAGGGACCTTTGGAAACGAGGAAGTTCAGCTGAGCAACTTTCAGGACAGAAAATGGGAGACGTGTCTTTATGCTGAGGGTTAGAGAAGTCTGGAAGAAAATCTCTCACCACCTTGTTGAAACTGACTCCATGGGATCCTGAAGCTGCCGGGGAACATCTTTGGATCATTCCACTACTTAGCAGCCAAACGTGCCAGATGAGCCAGATGACCTCCTCTGGTTTGTCACCTGTCCTGTGCTCATGATATAGTGCCCCACCTAAAGCCAGGGGCAGCATTTCAGACTGCAGCGTCCTCCTGCAGTTGGTCACTCAATGCGGACACCTATCCAGGGCCCGAAATCTGATGCTTCCGTGTCACTGGGTCAAGTTGCATCTCAAAATAGGTCACATGACCAGAAGAGTAATTACCTCTGAACCACAATAGCGCTGACCGCGTGGTTCAGAGGACATCACTGCCCAGACCTGACAGGCTCAACACCAGCAGCTTTTCATCATTTGTAACATCTGGTCAAGGAACTCCTGACCAAATGACTTTCACAACTAAAAGTCTAGTGATTATCTGATGCATCTTTATGCGTCCATGTGAAAACAACTAGCTGTCATACAACAATGCAGTTACTGCAATGAACTAATGATATGTTCTTTATATGGAGTGAACTTGATGAGCTGTTTTCTTTTCTTTTTGTCTGAACCTCATTCTGTTTCTCCAACTGCTGGCTGCACACCGGCATTTTTTTTCCTCCAAAGCTCGTAGTGGCTGGTAAGCCTCTGATGTCTGGGCCTGTCCCCATTCCAAACTTTTCCCTGAAGTCCTTACGCATTCCCACCTCTCTGCCTGCTCTCCAGTTGTCACTGAAATATCATTATTGTGAAAGGTCGTATTTATTTCTTAGATAATAAGAGCCATAACATTAGAGACCCCTGTGCTCATCTGGTTACATCAGCTAAATGAATTTCTACCTTGCCGTGTGTGCTGTACTTTGCACACTCTGTAATACACATTTCCATATACTTTTACTAATGTGCTTGAACACATTTTAAAGACTTTTACACTAATTAATTAGTTTACAGCCTCTGCTGATGGTTGCCAATAAATGTTAACTTCTAAAAAGCCAACATTCGAAGTGATTTCGAGCTACTTTGTAATAAAAAATATTATTTTTACTCTTTAGAACTTTTATTTTATAATAGGGGCATGATATCGGCCTACTTTACGGTTATATTATTTCTTCTTATAGTTATCAATTCACTTTTTGGAACTTTTATTTAGTTACGTAGTCATGACAATTTTGCTCGGTATAATGCTAACACTAAGAGACAAGGTGAAGAGGACCATAAGATGCCGCAGTCTAATGTGTCGTGTTTCTTGTCGGTATCAATGTAATTCCGTGTGTCCGGATTGCTAGTAACGATTGCTCTGACCGTGCTCGATAAATCTGCTCCAATTCATCGCCATCACAAATGACCGCAGACCAGCGGGCAAAGTTGGGACCGGCCCGGTTTCACAATCTTTTATGGTCGCTTCGACTTTTCGGAATCGCAGCACGTTTTTTAAACACGTTAGAGAACGAGCAAACGGTTAATCTTTCTGCCTTTGATAAAGAGAGAGACGGAAGACGGGCAGTGATGAATGTCAGCGGTGCCTGGCGGTGGTGCAATCCTTCCGTTATTCTGCAAAGAAATTCGCACGATATCCTTGAACCTGCGGTCCAAGATCACACTGGACGTAACAGGCACAAATAGCATATAGCACACCTTAAATTCCACATCCCGTCTTCCAACAACAACAACAAAAAAAAAACGCTTAGCGATTAAATAGCCGTTCCCCTCACTATCTTAAAGGAATTAACATGTTCTAGGTGTAAATTCAAACTTCCTTTTGGAAATTTTCTTCGGGATCAGAGCAGAAACTGGATTTCCTAAACCGTGCGATTTGAACATCCGAGGGGCATTCTTAATCTTTTCTAACATAATGTAAAGAGACCAGTGATATTAGGTTGTAATGTACAGTATGTGTGTATATATATATAAAAACACAACAAAAGTCCTGCATTCTTCATGCAATATTATTTTCTAAACATGAAAACAATGGCAACGCAAAATCCTTACGGCATTCATAATTGTTCAACATTTGAAACAATACTGATATCATTACATCGATAATAAATTAACAAGACCAATAAATAAGAAGGCATGAAAGTACAATGAGAATGCGGTCTGCAATACGCCTCTTTAAAAATGCATTTGCTCCTTTCAAACAACCGTCTAGAGGTGAGGATCTCCACAGCCTTTTCGCGCGAGTGCACCGGGAAAGCAACAGAAGAAAAACATTCGAAGGAGAAACCCGACACGGTCTCTTGAGAGACACGGAATACGGCCGTCAAGTTTTAAACACAACAAGGACGTATTCTGTTAACCCCCGGAGACAAGTTGCTTACACACAGCGCTCCGCCGCCGAGATAATGTACTGTACCAGCAGTACGAGGAAGCGCGCAGAGAGGGGGGGTGGCGCGGGGGGCTCACCACGAAGCGTACCTGTTTGGGAGACACGACCAGCGCTGAAATGTAAATCTACAGTACCTGCTGTTGCTCCGTCCGGGTCTGCTTTCCCTCCTCGTCGTGGTTCTCCGGCCACAGGCGGCGGCTGGGGGACTGAAGCAGGCTGCTGGCGGCGCTGCTGCCCCCGGAGAAGTTACTCACGAGCTGGCGGCAGGGCTGGGCGGCTGAGGGCGGGGGGCAGCGCCGGGGCTGCGGGTGCGATTGATTTTCCGCGCCCGGCTCCTCGCAGTCGCGGTCCCAGTGCGGCGGACGCGTCCGCGGCGGGAGGTGTTGCCCGGGCGCGCCGTGCTGTGGCGGCTGCGGCAGCCGTAGCCGGCGCTGGCTGCCGTGCGGCTCCCCCGCTCCGTTGGCGCAGTGGTGGGTCGGCAGGCTGCTCCCCACCAGCCGCTGCTGCTGCTGCACCTGCAACGGAGGCGCGGGCTGCGGTTCCTGAGGTTGAAACGCAAACGCTCGCCGGTGGACTTCGGCCGACTCGCCTGGACTGTTCCGCTGCGCCGGCTGTGCCTTCCGTGTTACTGAGCCAGAGGAGGGGTTCTGCTCCTGCTGTTGCTTGAAATGATTATGAGGCTGACGCTGCAACAGCTGGGTCGGCGCTGGTAGCCCTCCTTCCCTTCCGCAGTGGCTGCCGAGGTGCTCCTGTTGGTAATTAGCGCCCTTTTGCAAATGATCCCCCCGATTCGGGTTCTGCGGAAACAGCCGCGACGGCGGCGGCGGCGGCGGCGACGATGGGGAGGGCTGTGGTGGGCAGCAGCGGGGCTGGTGCCGCTGAGGAGGGTTCGCCTCCGTCCAATAACTGCAGTGGCAGTTCTGGAAGAGGTGCTGCTCCGACTGCGAATTAACGCCGGCTGCGGCCCCGAGATCCTGTTGCGGACGCAGGGACTGGCTGGCCAAGCCACAGCCCTGATCGGCGAGTCGCTGGCCGGTTCCGTGGCTTGTTAGCGGCGGTGGACCGCCGTGCCGCAGCAGCTGAGGAGGGGTGCTACCTTTCTGAGCGAAAGGGCTCGGACTGGGCGGTTCGTGGCGGTTCTGGCGAAGCGAGGCGGCGCAGCGCTGCTTGTGCGGTTGCGGCGGCGGAGGCAGGCTGCAGAATGGGGCGTTTTGCGGCTGGGCAAGCGCGGCAAGACCGGCCGGGCTCGGTACTGCTCTCTGAGAATGACTCGCCACGCCGTGCGCGCCGTCCTGCTCTTGTCCCGGGGGCTGGTGCTGGAAGACAGCTCCCGTGTGCTGATGCTGCATCCCCTCTACAGCTCCGTCTTTCTGGGGCTGTTCCCGTGCGATGCAGCGCACCGGCACCCTTTCATTGCGAACAGCCCCGGCAGAATCGAGCCGACCCGTCTCATTGGTAGGTCTGACCAAGACCAGCCTCATAACGTCACGGTGAGGGCTACGAAACACACCGCCTAGATGTGAAAACTGGTCCAAACACTGTTACTTGAATGAATCCCCCACACCTACCGAGGTGATGTGAATCAGTGTTCAGACAGGTTCGGCAAGTCTGTGTACAATCCTACCCGTCCTCTAAAGCCACTGACCACCATTATCGAAACCGAAATCCTTTAACGCCCATAGGGATTTCAGAAGCGGTTGAAGAGCTTAAGGTTGCATTACAAGTTAAATAATCCCGACCTCTAATTAAATTAGTCTTGGAAACGGTTTCCCTTATGTCTTTCCAACTTCTTCCTGCCCTCGGATTGCAGTGCTTACATCTTCATTAATGTCTTTTGCTCGTCCAGTGCCCCACTTTCCCAAACTGCGAAGGCACACTCTTCACGGGACTTGAGAGCGCCAAGCCTTTCCTCTGTCCTCTTAATTTTAATGGGATCTATACCGCGCAAAAATGTCACCTCTCAACAGCTTTCTGGAGGGTATCAGCGCTGTTAAAATAAACTGAAGAAAACAATATGTTTATAGATGCTATCACCAACATCATAGATTCACAGTACACACAGATACAGTAGATCTATGCGGTATTACAAGGCCATTTTTAATCGTCTAAAAACCTAAGTAATATTTATTTGATGAACAGGCTGCACTAAATATTTGATCATGGTCAAACGCCGTTTCGTGTTACGTTCAGCACATACACCAATGAATCCAGCCCTGTCCTGCTCTGTAATTGTAACAGAGTGCGCATATGGACTTCAGGTGCGTTCATATACAACCGGAGTTTCAACCATCTCTGATTAAGCCAATAATACAGAAAAAAAAGAACATCCCTTGACGGATACATAAAAAGCTAGTTTGACACGACATTTTTTGGACATTCAGACAAACCCAAAATGCGCGCCACGATTTTGACGCGTATGGACTAATGAAAAAAAACACGAACGGGCATGAAGGATTGTGATCTAAAACGCCGAGCTCTATTTTGTAGAGCGATTATTTCAGGAGTCCACATTTAAAAAAAATGTGGACGGGAAGGGTGCACAAGTAGTACCAAACGATTAAAATACGAACGCCCTGTGCTTAGATTCAGTACATGTACATACATTTACTCCTTTCAAAGACAGAGCTCCGACCACCTCCCCTCGTGACTGAACGAACCCTTTCTGGAATAACGGTAGCAGTCAAGCGACAGATACTGTACGCCAGGGACGGCCGAGGTGACGGCGAAAGCGTCTGGATGGAGTTAGGGAGAGAGAGAGTGGGAGAGAGAGGGCATTTCTTGGAACGTGGACAGAGTGACATGAGTATTTCATTGTAAAAAGAACGAGGAACGAGAGACCGAAAGCGAATATCTTCTTTAAATACTAGTGACTGTCAGAGCGGTATATGGCAGGGAGAGAAGGACTGCAGAGTTTTTTGGTAAACGTTTCTTACATAGTAAAATATTCATCTAATTTTGCAATGATTTGTAATAGACACTTGGCATTTTACAGTCATTCGTCTTCTATTCTCTTCATCTGCAGACATACATAATTAAAACAAAATATATTCAAATCATACCTCGGAGCGCAATAGATCTGTGTAGGTCACTATAAATCATTCATGCGCACCTCCTGTACAGCCATTTCAGTTTATTAATACATAAAAAACATATGATCCCATTAAGGCACCTACATGGCATTTTCTGAAAATAGGTATTTCACAGAACGCTGCTTTAGAAAAGACATTTCAATGATTCTCCTGTAACTTGCCAAACTGTAAAACCACATCGAAGAGTAATCCCTCTCTCAAGCTGCGTGCTAGCTCCATCTGTGCAGGAGTAGGCTGAAGCAGCTACAGTTGGGGGGCAAATACGAATCTGAAAGGATTGGTAGAGAGGGGTATTCAGGAGACGCACAAAAGACACAGAAGTCTCCAAGCAAGAATCAAAGGAGACGTCAAACAATGCAGATTGCTCTAGCCATGTAGCCAGCACTCTCAGGCTGCATTCAGAGCCTCGTATTTGCATTAAGGCTATTTGGGGAGAGCTTAGGTATGGGAATCTGAGATGGCAGATAGCAATAAGTTACGCTGCGTGGAAAATGTATTATAGGAGTGTCTGAAACCTCTCTAAGCATTTTCCCTGGAAAAAGGAAGTGCAGGTGTCCAGATCTAACAGGGCCTGTCTTTTGCACTTTCGGGTCAGTCCTCTGCTTTTCGCTGTACAAAACACTAGCATTGGGCTATAAAAAAAGGCACCAAACTATGTTGTTGAATGTATAATAAGCCCTATGCAGAACAATAATGAACTCAAAGGCTTGAAAATCGGTTTGAAAACTATATGAAAATGTTATTGCCAGGCGACTTTATTGGGATTCCTGCAAGGATCCTGATGCACGACTCCTGGAGAAGCTGCGCGGGACCCGAACAAATCGCAGAGGACTACTCTAAATGAATGGCTAAGTGATCCTTTTATTAATCTCTAGTATTGATGTTGACATAAACAGCACTTATTAAAACTGCCCTGTGTCAGGATGTCAATGGAAATATCGGTGTAAGCAGAGATTTATGGCCTGGCAGTACAGTACGGCTGATTAAATGGGCCTCGCAGGCAGCCAGGAGCCGGATCCCTGAGGTTTTGACAAGGCCTGTATTACCACCTGCTGCCACAGAGCACGTGGGAGGCAGTACAGAGCTCAAGAGAGGGCCAACTCCCTCTGCACTCGAGTTTTTATACCGCTAAAACCACTGTGCAGCTATCTCCCTTTTCCCTTCTTACTGTTATTGCGCTCATTCACAATACAGCGAATCTGAAATTTTGAAAACCCCTCATTCGATTACTGCATTTCATGGTAAGACACTCAAACTTCGCTCTAAGGAGCGGCATGTTTTACGATTTAGATTACCGAAACAAGGATGGTTGTGACGCAAGAACATGAAAAGTCTGAACCTCGAAATGCTTTTCCAAGATCCCGTTTCAGACAGTGAGAATTGAATAGCTAAGAATATGGGTTTGTGGTCTTCTCACAGTCAACATGATAACCTTTTGAGCGTTGATTCAATGCTTTAAATCTTTTTTTTCCTATACAAATTTTCTCATCGATCGGACTTGGTTTTGTTTTTTCACAGCAGTGCTGCTGATACCTATAGAGACAGGGTAGCGCCGTAGGTAAGCCTGTGGCCTTGTTACTCATAGGCACTGGGTTCGAGTTCCCCGTTTGTATCTTGAGGGAAGTGCTTCACCCCTGTGGCTCCAGTCCCAGCTGTAGGAATGGGGACCCATGTTTGCTGGGAGTGGGCTCTGCGCTGGCATCCCATCCTGGAGAGGGGCGGAGTCTTGTGCTCTCTGTTCAATCAACGCCATGGAAACCAAGACTCGCTCTGGCCTGATGACTCGCTGGGCCTCAAACACAGAAACGCCCTGCTGCTAATAATGGCAACCACAGCAAGCATGGGAAGAGAAAGAAAGGCAGTTGACGTTTTTTCCTCAGCGGGACAGGGCTCAGAAGGTGCCAGGTCCCATTCTGGCCCTGGTTTATTATTACAGTTCCTTTCTTGCAGGGCATCTGGAATTTGGAGGCACTAAGGAGTCAGGGACACTGCTGATGTGGTAACCCAATCATTTTAAGTAATTAGTCTCTACCTGACCTGCGTGGGTTCCTGGGCAGGGCAAAGTATCGCTTGCGTGTGGTATTGGGACGCGATGATCACATCAATTATTTACCGACCTCAGCACACCACACTCCTTTCCCAAAACAAGCCCAAAGTCAAGTGAAGGCCCGGGGAGAGAAAGCAGAACACCGCGGTGCTGTGCAGGTTCCCTGTGGAAACCCCTCTACCCAAACCGGCCTCTTTCTCTGCCAGTCTAGTCCATGACTTCTATCTGGACACATCTATAAAACCATCAAGGCTGCACATGCTACAGAACATAGACTTGAAACACAAAATATAAAAAAAAAAAATGGCCCGAGTGGGTACAGATACAGGGCTACCAGACCTTGCTGCCGTGTTGAGTAATCTGAGCGGGCAGTTGTTATGCAGAGAAATCGTGTTCTCTGCAGACAGCGCCCGGGAACCAGTCCCGTTGTGGGGATCACGTGTTCTATAAAAGGGTTCCTACACTTTATGGCCGAATAAGCTCTAGCCTTGATCAGCTCTGTTTCATGAATTCAAATATTTTGCAGCATCCTGTTCCAACATGTTTGTGAACACAACAATGCTTTTTTTATGCATGAAAAAAACACGCATAATAGCTCGCACGCAGCAATGCACTGTGCGTTTGCTCGTATATTCTCGTACGACAATGGTATAAATCTCTGTTGTGGAGATATATAGTTTTTTTTTTCCTTCAGGTGGGAAGAAGAGGTTAATGTTTGCTGGGAATCCTTGGGGTTACGCAGCTCCCAGGTCTTATATAAGCGCTGGCTGAATTATTGATTCAGGCAGGAATCGAGTCCCTCCCGGCTTCCCCACCTGTTCAATGAACTGCAGGCAGTCCCACGGTCAGCCACCAGGGGGCTCCTGGGACGATGATCAGATGGGAACGGAGGGTTTAAGGAGAAAGCTCTGGATGGTCAGTTACAAAGCTGAAGATGAAACAGTATGTTGAAGAAATCGAGTCCTACTGAGTGAACAGCAGTTATTATTCTCTTTAGATAAATGAGGAAAGGATACATGCATGTTCACAGTCACAACAAATATTGAAAAGATGGCTTTTTAATCGGAAAAAAAGCTTGCTTGCTTCTTAAAGCAGTGTGCTGACTAGCAAGTGAAAAGTGAAACAATTTACTCCCCATCCCGTCTTTCAAAATCTAACTTCAGCTCTATTTCACCATGGAAGAACACCAGAAAGACACTGCCAAAGTCTAGGTTGCCTGTTCCCAAACCCTACGCCAGGTCTCTCGCAGTCCTGATAGTGGAGGGTGGTGCATCTCT